CCTAGATATTAGGGTTCATGCAGAGCATTTTGTTTCTCAGATGGTTGATGGTGCTAGCATGTCTTGCTCCCCACAGGCTTCAGATCAGTTTGCTTTGGCCTATCATTAGGTTGAATGTCCATTTCTGGATTCTCAACAGTTTAAATCAATTGTGCCAGTGTGGGGGCAGACCCTGCTTTCATATTATCCTATCAACTCTCCTATGGTACTTGTCTACCATCCACCTCTTTTCTGAGGCAATCCACCGAGATCCTGAGAGTTTTGAGGGACAGCTTCTCCCTGCTTACCACAAAGTTGGCACGTTTGTCTTCTTTGGCTCCTGTCTTATACACTTAGTTTCTCTGTTGTTGGGATCTCCTGGGGAGGGATGCTGTTTTGTCCCAGGTTTTTTACTACCAACTTATCTCTGGGACTTATCTTTGGGCCCCTTTTCTACAGCAGTATGCTTTTGGTAATATTCCTGACACTTTGGAATTTTGTGTGGAATCAGTGAGACAATAAATGACCCTTTTCTTTTTTGGTGGATCGTTTGTCTCATTCAGAGTCTAGACAAGCCTCTACTACTGTTTCCAATCCTGCTCCTTTTTTCCCAGCCCTTACCTGTTCCTACCTCTAGGGGTTCCTCCTCTTGTGATATTATTCAACCCAGATGGACACGTCATCAACAACTCGTACTCATTCTTCAAGGATGCTTCCCTTCAGGGCTGGGGGCATGGGTTGCTCAGTAGGAAACTTCATGTCAGTGGTCTCCAGCCAAAAAATCTTATCATATCAACATCCTGGAGCTTCTGGTTGTATATCATGCTTTGGATCATTTTCTTCTTCTTACCAGGAATCTTCTGGTCATAATCCATTCTGACAATTCTACAGTGGTGGCTTATATCAATCACCAAGGCAGGACCTGTTCTCCTTCTCTTTGTGGTCAAACCTTGAATCTCCTTCTTTGGGCATACTTGCTGGGTATTCATCTCCTTGCATGGCAGCTTCTGGGTGCATTCAGTCTTGTTGCGTATCACCATTCCTGTCCTGACAAAGTTTATCTGATGGAGTGGTCTCTCGATCCTCTTGTTTTCCAGTGGCTATGCCTTCAGTGGGGTACTCCTCACCTGGATGTATTTGCAACATCCCATAATACCAAGTTACCTATGATTTGGTTTCCAGTTCCTCATCCACTTGCTCTGGCTGTCGATGCATTCAATCAAGATTGGACCAACAAATACCTGTATGTTTATCCTTCTATCCATCTTATTCTCAGGGTGATTTTGATTATCCGAGCCACTTCGTATCAAGTCCTTCTGATTGCTCCTCTCCTTACTGGCTATCACAGTCACGGTTTCTGTGGCTGCTCCAACTAAAATCTGCCCCACCATTGCCTCTTCCTCTTAATCCACCCCTTCTATGTCAACCTCGGTCACTGGCATTTCCTCCAGCACTTCATATCCTCCGTCTTCACACCTGGTTTTTATCCAGTCCTTGGAGAGGAGATCCAATTTTTTTCTGGTGGGTCACTTCTTTTTTAGCTTGTTCCATTCACCTTCCTTTAGGAATGTTTAACAACTTAAGTGGAATGTTTTCCATCATAGGTCTTTGGGTCAAGGGTTTTCTCCTGCTCGACCCACTGTTACAGATTTTCTCACTAGGGTGTTTGATCAGGGGTCTTCTGTCTCCTCGATCGTGGGTTATTGGCCTGCCTTATCCCACACGTTTCGTTTTTTTAGGTACCCTAAAGTTTTTACCTTTCCTACCTTTTCCCTTTTTGTTCACCTTGGTGTGCAGTCCTTGCAGATTGGGATGTTAATTTGGTTCTTCACTGCCTTACTTTGCTTCCGTTTGAACCTCTGTCCTTGTGCTTGATTTTTTCACTTATCCCTTAAGACTTATTTCCTTCTCCTATTGGCCTATGGGCGTCGTCAGTTGGATTTATTTGCCATTATATTCTGTATCATCCCACATATATTCTCCATTATCTAGATTTATTTTTCCTTCCCAAAACTTCAGCAGCTCATGAGGGTAACTCCTCTCTCTTGCTGATTTCCCGTCCTTCTATTTTCCACCTGTATCCTCGGTCATATCTGGATAGGCTACTATATTCCATATGTTCTCTTCGTTATGTTGCCCTACCAGCTTCCTTCCATGTTGCCTCTTCCTGGCTATTCATTCCTTGGCAGATATCATCTGTTCATGACCTTTCTTTTTCCCCCTAACCAATTGGGTTTGGCTTTTAATTCAATTGGTATATTCTTCCTGTAATTTGTTCCAGATGTTTTCTCATCAAATCAGGCACCGTACCTTTTCCTTGGCATCTCATCTCCATTGTCCCTTGGAGGAAATTCTTCAATCGAACATTTGGACTACACCACATATGTTCATATCTCACTATCTACATTGGGTTGCTGTTTATTCATCTTCTGGTTATCGTCTTCTGCATGTAGCCAATATTCAGACTTCAGTGAGACTATGACTGGGTAAATTTTCTTTTCCAGGGGCTTTTCCCTTTCTTTTTTCTTTTTTACACTATGGATCCCACTCTTTGGCAAGTGGTGCCTGACCAGGTATGCTTGAAATAGTCTGCACTGTCAGGCCATGTTGACAGCATATTTATAATTTTCGAGGCCATAAAATGCTCTCTGTTGAGATTGGGTGTTCCACAAAAATCGCTTGTAGGTTTTCCTCATGATATATTTGCTTTTACTATGCCCATTCCAGGCCATACTCACTCATGGACTTCCTGAGTAAAGCAGAAGGGAATATGCAAAATCTTTTTTCTCTTCACACACTTTTAACATCAGCTCACCAGTGCTGGATTTCCTGTTTAGTTCAGGTGCTAAGCCACTGCTCATTTTCAGCCTTTCCAATAATTTGAAATTGTTACATTTTTACACTTACATTCATGCATTCTTCTTTATGTTGGAAAATGTTTGAGAATTCTGCATACTTTGACACATTATGTTCTTTAACTCGATCACTAAACCTCCTCACCATTGACCCTATATATACACACTATTAGAAACAAAACAGAGCACTTATATCTATAAACGACATGTGATTGGGCTGCTTTGCATATTCTGTCTTTGAATAAAAAATAGTTCCTTATCCTGTATACTGGGTTAAGTACCACACATAGTTAATTTGTGGGTAAACATTACAAAGGAAGTTCTTTATATATTTTTCTTGATTTTCAAAACGTGTTCTGGTAAATGGTAGTGTCATATATATACAATCTTTTTTGGAACATTATCTTTCTCTTCCTCAGGGGTGGCTGCTTTGTTAATATAATCATTGATAACTCATGTTAAAACTTTTATTGGGAAGTCATTTAAACATAAGTTATTTTTTATGTTTTCCACTTCATTTTTAAACAGTTCAACATTTTTTTTATTTAAATATTAGAAGGAAATAACTGCCCATCCCTGCCATGTCTTCGATTGAATAAAGCAGGTATGATCTGCTTTTCAAATAGAGTTATCATAGTCACCATTGCACTGTCTCTGGTGTTAACATTCATCCGGACTCTCCACCACATTGTCCCCTCCCCTTTTTTTCTTCCACTGGAGTATGGAAGTCCTTTCCACTTTCCTGTTCAAAGCTGCTGTGGTGGTGGTGTTCTGCTGGTGTAGATGATGAGATGTCCTCCAATCTGATGCTCATCTTTGTACAAGTTTATCTGAGGGGATGTTGTAGCTTTGGAGTGAAGAGTTGTAATTGCAGTTCACTCCTTCGATTGGGATCCCTCATCCTACCTCCACATGGATGTTGGTTCCCAGTGGCTGGGTTTTGGATTCAGAGATGAACCAAACAACATATGCAAATATTATTGGTGTGTCTGTTCCTCACATAAGTATACTCTTGTTCCCTCCACCCATGTTGTGGGTCACGGTGGTTGAACTTGCAGATTAATACGGTTTTCCTCTTATGCTATCTCTTAATAATTTTCATATACCAAGGATGTTACTTCCCTGGGGGCAGTTCCTGTTGGATGGTTTTGAGTGGGTTAGTTTACATTACAGATACATCTTTATTATGCTCATTGTCCAGATGTCAGTTTTCTAGATCAGTCAAACATGTTGCTATCATGTGTCCTGTTCACAGATGAGGTGATACAAGATTTCCTCCATTCTGCTGAATTAAAGGTGAAGATGGTATGATCCTCTTTCCTACCACCACCAGATGGCTTGGTTTTGGATTATAGTTGACTTGCCAGTCCTCTTTCCTACCCCACATGGATGTCGGTTCCTGGTGGCTGGATTTTGTACTGTAGTTGACTTACTGATGGTATGATTCTCATCCTATCCTTGCATAAAAATCTGTTCCCAGTGTCTGGGTTTTGGATGCAGGTGACTTACCGTGTATTATCCATCATAACCTAGCCACTGCTCACCTAGGGGCACATCATATTACTCTCACCCACATTAATGTATTCTGTAGGATTGAGATTCCATTATACTGAGGTTTGGGATGTGCTCCTCTCATTTTCTACCCATGTCTGCAACACCTTTTTTCCACACTGGGCGAAGAGTATACTTGTACAGAAATGGTACGGTTTTCTACATATGATTCTCTAATGAAAAGATCTACTCTTTTAGGGTGTTCTTTGGATGCTTTCAAGGAATGCTTCTTTGTTTTTCCCATACATTGGTATCCCTATTCAGTGTGGGATACTAGCTATTTATGTGAACAGAGGTAATGTACTGTACAGGAAGTTATAATTTTCTTGTACTGAAAATATATTTCCAATAGGTATTTACTTCCTTTCACACTTCCCACCCTTTCTCCTCACTGAAAACCAGTGCTTCCATTTCCTGCCAAATCTTAGCGATAGTTCAGCAGAATAGAATAGAGGGAGTCATATACGTCGGGATAATTGTCGCACAATGATTTACATATGAGATGCAGTTGAACCATTTGATGGTGAGGTATGTGGGAGCTCAAGGCTTGTGGCATGCACATTTTTTTTTTTTAAAATATAGGGCAGCGCTGAATGAGAATAGTTATTTATATGAATGGAAGTAAGTACCTGTCAGAAATATATTTTCAGTATAGGAAAATTAAAACTTTTGAAACTTCTGTGTACTAAAGATTCTTTCCTAAGCTATTAATAATGTTTTCTCAAATTTACATGTAAATATAATGAATATAGCATTGTGTCCATTTCCTTTATACATTCACATATCAGAAGCAGTTTTCCGATTTTACTTGAAGTACAGTAGTTCCTCTATCCAGAGATTTTCTTATTTCTTTGCTTAGCAACTGAAATCGTAGCCTAATAATTTAAAAGTTAGAATATTAACTCATTGTTTCTATAGATATGATTTTTGATTTTTTAGTTAGGTTATAAACAAATCTTATTAAAACTTCAAATTGTATGAAAGTTTAGTAAGATTTTTTGCACAGCTGTACTTTTGAAGCACTTTGT